GGGGTGACAGGAGAGGGGGGCGTGGGGAGGAGGGGGGGGCTGTAGGGGTGGGTTGTGGAGGAGCTATAGGGATGGAGGTTATAGGAGGGCTATGGGGAGGGAGGTTATAGGAGGGCCATAGGGGTAGGTTATAGGGGAGCTGTAGGGGATGGATTATAGGGGGCTATGGGGGTGGAGGTGATGGGAGTTATAGGGATGAGCTTATAGGGGGCTATAGGGATGCAGGTGATGGGAGCTATAGGAATACAGATTATAGGGGGCTATAAGGATGCAGGTTAAAGGGGTCTATAGGGATGAAGGTGATGGGAGTTACAGGGATGAGGTTCTAGGGGGCTATAGGGATGCAGGTGATGGGGGTTATAGAGATGCAGGTTATAGGGGACTATAGGGATGGAGGTGATGGGAGTTATAGGGATGAGGTTATAGGGGGCTATAGGGATGCAGGTGATGGGAGCTATAGGAATACAGATTATAGGGGGCTATAAGGATGCAGGTTAAAGGGGTCTATAGGGATGGAGGTGATGGGAGTTACAGGGATGAGGTTCTAGGGGGCTATAGGGATGCAGGTGATGGGGGTTATAGAGATGCAGGTTATAGGGGACTATAGGGATGGAGGTGATGGGGGGCTATAGGGATGCAGGTTATAGGGGGGCTATAGGGATGCCCGTTATAGCAGGCTATAAGGATGCAGGTTATAGGGATGCAGATTATAGGGGCCTATAGGGATGCAGGTTATAGGGATGCTGTAGGGATGGAGGTGATAGGGGGCTATAGGGATGCAGGTTATAGCAGGCTACAAGGATAGAGGTGATGGGAGGTTATAGGGATGGGTTATAGGGGTCTATAGGGATGGAGGTGATGGGAGTTATAGGGATGAGGTTATAGGGGGCTATAGGGATGCAGATTATAGGGAGCTATAGGAATGCAGGTTATAGGGGGCTATAGGGATGGAGGTGATGGGAGCTATAGGGATGCAGATTATAGGGGACTATAGGGATGCAGGTGATGGGGGCTATAGGGATGCAGGTGATGGGGCAGAGGGAGCCCGGAGGCGCTGAGGACGGAGCCGAGTTCCCCAGGGACAGGGCTGGGCGCGGAGGCAGCGCCTGCGTTTGGGGGAAGTCGCGGGGGTTTTGGGTGCCCGGAGGGCACCCAAGGCAGGAGTGACGGGTGCCCTTTAGGAATGGGTGCAGGAGAGCCCTTTCCATACGGGATTTACAGGTTTGTGGGCAGGCACGGGATGCAGGGAGCGCTTGTTGGGAGGGGAGGGCAGGAAGGGACCACGCAGGGGGTGCGGGGACGGCCGGCGCTTTGGACCCATCGCGCGCGACAAGGGCGGCCTGGGCGCCCCACGGCCACCAAGGGACACGGGGCACCGAGGTGGAGCCCGACGGAGCTTGGTGGAACCGCGAGAACCAGCCAGGGAGGGCACTGGACCAGCTCCGAGCCGAGTTTCCCCTTTCCCTGGAAGGAAAGTCAAGGTTGTGGCTTCGGGCTCCGGGTTCCCGCGTGGCTTYCGCGGCTCGGCCTCAACCTCGGAGGCCAACGCCTGTCAAAGCGAGGCTGACGCTCCGGCCTCGCATCCACCGAAATCCCGGAGTCCCCGGGTGACTTGGTGCTCCTGCTTCTCCCGCTCCCCTTTGTGCTGGAATCCGGGCTTTCCAACGCTGCGGATTCGCTGCCGTCGGGGATGTCGCCGCGGAGCATCCGGAGCCGGCGAGCAGGGAGCCTTGGGAGCGYGTTAACCTCCGGCTCCGTGGAGCAGCTCGAGTGGTGCATTAATTTCCCCAACGAGGTAGCTCCTTTCCTTGGTTTCTCGCATATTTGCTGGAAGATTTTGCTGTTGGCCCCGGGGTTTTCGGGGCAGCAGCTTTCAGGTTGTGCCCTGTGTTTCCAGAGCCCGGATTCCCCTCAGGAGGAATCCGCTTGGTGCCGACGCTGTCGGATGCAGGAAAAGGAGCAGGTCAAGGGGGATATTTTCCCACTTTCCTGGACAAAGACACGTTGCGTGAACCAGGGAGAAACCCCGAGTGATTCCATTGATGTTTCAACCCAAATACAGCTTACAGTGCAGCTGTGTGTTTATTCCCGCTGTTAAAGAGCGGAGGGAGGAAGCTGTGGGATATTTTTCCTTACGTTCTCCTTCCTCGAAGGGCTCGGGAAGATGGAAACCTCTTTCGGGAAACGTTTTGCTGGACTTGGATTGCGTCGGCTGTGCCACGTTAACCGGGAAGCGCTCCTTGATWGCCACTCCAATGGGGAGAAATGTTGAGGGATATCAAGAAAAAGGAGATCAGTTCTGCTGCATCAGATTTTCCCCTTTTTTCCCACTTTTTCCTGCTTTTCTCTTTTTTTCCCACTGCTTTCTGGTTGTGCTTTGGAATTTTAACTGTTTCGTGGACCTCTATGCTTGAGTATGTGTGAAAACCCCCCTATATTCTGCATATTTCCTCTTGCTGCCTGCGTGTAGTCATTGGAAGCACTGCTGCTGATTTGCATGGTATTTCTTAGCCAAAATATGCTTGAAATCTGGTTATTCTAGTGTTTATTCTGGAAGGTACAAATATCAACATCAAATATCAAGATAGTTACATGTTTTGGCCTTTCTTTAAAGTAAAATTACCATTTTCTAGGACACCTCTGTGCTAAGAGATGTGTTTTTAGTGGCTTTTCATTTGAGTGATTGCGTGCTGAGTATTCCCAACGTTGATATCCCAATAATCTGCCCCTCGGCTTCTTGTTTACTTCTTTCTTAATTAAAATTCCTGCCCGCTAT